AGGACCTAAAGCAGTTCATGTGAAGAAGCCAAACAATATCCCTAAATTGAATCTGTTCTATAAGCTAAATATTACTCCAAGTCAAATGTACAGGATTGATCAACAATTATCAGAAATGTTTAGTTGCAGTTACTTCTGCCCAAGGAGGGTACAGCAATTTTTGAAAGTGAAGTTTCATATATTTTTTTACCAAACTTAATATGTAGCCTTGGAAACTTTTGTCTCAATAAATCAATAAACAAGTATAATGTTTTTTTTACTTATTGGTTTAATTGGGTTGTCTAGTTGTAGAACTTTGTGGAAAACAGATCACATTTTAGGTGATATTTATGCAAAATTCAGGAGTATTCAAAAAAATATAAGCATCCATCTAGAAAACATTTTTGTTTCAATGTATACAGAATTTCTCAGCCAATCCAATTCATAAGACACACAAAGCAATTTTATTGGACTAACCTATAAAGAACAGATTTTTTTTTAAAAAAACCAATTCTTCTAACTTTAAAGGAAGTAGGGTATTGACTAATTCAGGAATACACTGATGAATATTTGTAAGAATACAAATATTCTTACAATCCATATAAGTAATTGGTATTAACATACCAATTACTTATATGGATTGTAAGAATATTTATACAATACTAAAACTCTTGTTCCAATCTTTATTCAGTGAAATGGTGCATAATAGGCCAATAATTTTTGAACCAAGATACGTCAAATGGTCTGTCTTATAGAATGTGTCAAAAATCCAAAATCCATGACTTCCATGGCATTAAAATTTGGCAAATTTTACAAAGCATTATATGACACAAAAAACACCAACTTGTCTTAAGAAAATACTAGAACTCAATCTCCTGAGACCAGCACCTGAACCACTACAACAACTGGATCTCTTTTCCACTCTTAGAATAACATTTTAAATTATCTAATGGAATGTTGGCTCTGTCTAAGAAACATTGGAATCAGTAAGCAAATTCATTTAGGGCTATGAGACAAAGTTATCTTGCCTGTCTTGATCTAGTTTAGATTCAATACTAGCATGCTTACTTACTTATATCAGACATTTGCAAAAAAAAAAACAACTTCCTATTGTTAACTTGATCCTTACATCAAGATGCACTTTTTAGGTTGTAAGATGCTAATTATAACAAAGTGAAGTGTCCAAGAAATTTCATATCAACATATTTTCATTTTAGGGGTATTTGTTGACTCCATTTACAGAATATAATTTGTCAATATGTGGAATTATTTCCCATTAACCTTATCTCCAATTTCAAAGAACAAAGTTTTATAGACAATAGTGCTATTAACCTTTCCATAGTTTAATTATCTATTGAAAATTAGCATATTTTCTAGTACAAGGGAGTAAGTTTTCTTAACTTAATAATGTTTGCAAAGCTGAAACCCAGAAACATGAATTGCTGTTGAAATGAATGTTACTCTGTTAATTTTATGTATAAAAATATGTTAAAAATCACCTAAATGTGTTTAACGTCAGGCTCAAAAAATCAAGAAAGGCAGTTGAAGTTCTTCTAAGCAGTTTCCTTTAATTTTACTTATGGACAGAAATCATGCCAAACTAAAGTTGACTACTTGCACCATAAAACACAGATGCTGGGATTCTGGAAAACTATTAGGGAAGAGCTGTTTTCACCCTTTTTCTTCCACAGAGCTTTGTTGTCTTTTTCTGGAATGCACTCCTCCCTCCTGGGAATCTGGACTACATTCCATAACAATTAACTCTAATATAAATATTCCATTTTTAAATAAAGTTTGGGGCTTTTAAAAAGTTTTTAGGGCTTCTTTAAACCAGGTCTATTTTACCAGCTTACAATTCCTATTATGTCTAGGAATGCTGATATTGTTCCAGTGCTTTTACAAAAGAGAATAACATAATTTTAAAAGAATTGTTTTCATCACACTTTATTTCATATAATCATGAAATTTTGCCTACTCTTGAATTTAAGCCACAAGTAATGTATACATACTGATATGAAATATAGTAAGTTTAAATATACACATTAAGTATACACATAACAGTTTAATGGATCTTACTTCCAGTAATCTGGGTACAGAATCCAACTTTGAAAACTAAATGCCTAATTAGAAGTATAACAAAACTTTCCCTAACAAACGAATTGACATGATGAGAGGGATAGATTTTTTGTAAAAAAAAGTAGAGATAGCATAACATAGCTTTTCCCCCCCAAGAGTTGGGTGGGGAAAAGATTTTTCAGCTTATGTAAATTACTGCATAATAGGGAAGGGAGATATTTTTAAATTGAAAAACACTGGGAAATCATACAATTTTCAAAATTCAGTAGTACAATTTCTGAAGGATCTAAGTACACCATATAAAACTAAGAGTTTCTTGTGGACTCCTTATCACTACAGGTGTCTTATCAATAAAAGAGAAGTTACATGACATCCCCACTTCTCCTTCTCCCCTAAATGATCTTATAACTTTCTTATAGTGTCAAAGTCTTAAAAATGCCAACTTATGGCCTCAAAACCCACTTGTAGCTCCTGAAGGCTTGGATAATATCTTAATAGCATTGGTGCAAAATTGAAATAGTTAATATAATGGAAAGACATTATTTATTATATGTGATGTGGTTACCTTCACTCTCCCTCAAAAGAAATATGTCACTCAGAAAGCAGGTACACCACTTAGCCTGAAAGAAGGGCAGTTGAGCCAAGGGATTGATGGCATTTGAAGAAAAAAAGAAAGAAAATAACTAAGAGATTATTTTTGCATTTTCATACAGCATCCTCGATAGAAACTCTATATATTATGTATAAGGGACAGGGATATATATTTACAAGCATTCATATTCCCTTGAATTTGACATGCTGAAAGAATCTTCAGAAAGAGGTTGGGTGTAGTGAAGGTGGAATATAATCCCAATGCCACAGGGTTCCAGTAGCTATCGGACTGTGACAAAATGTAACTTTTATCTTCTTTTCTAAATATTAGCAATAGTTTCCTTATGGTGCTATAAACACCATACTATTGTAAGAATGTGGACATATGTGGCATTAACTTTAGCATTCTAAAGCATAGATGATTTTTTAAGGATTGCTGCAGAAGTATGAGCTCCCCGGGAGTGATTCAATTACTAATAGTCCAAGATTTCTCTTATGTATGGCTTGACTCACTACATGCTGGAATGATGCAAGTTAATTAGAAGACATTCTGAAGAATACTTCATAACATTTTTACTTTTTTATCATAGAAGTTTCATTGAGTTTGTTTACTCTAAGATACCAGAAGTGGGAATGATGTGACACTGGCAGCTAATATATTTAAAAATTAATATTAAAATATTTTTAGATGTTGGTTGGCATGCCATCTATTTTGGAATCTTTAAAATGAATCAATGATTTGGAATTTTACTTGTTCCCTCCTTTTTTTAATGAAGACACATTCTAAATCAACAATTTTAGATCATAATGTTATGGTAATTATTAGTATTTTTGTCAGTTCAAGATGAGTATACAATTTTACAAAAAAAATCAAGGTTTATTAAGCTTTATCTTAACTGTATTCTGAGATAAATTGGAAGTAACTTTCTTGTAGCAAACTATTTACAAACCCCCTGTCCTTCACAGACATAAAACTGCAACATGCACTATAGTTGCACTGCTGGGAATTAGTCCAGCTCAGTGGAGAAAATGGCTTTTATGCATTCCAAAGCCTATTGCATAATACCAACATTTTTCAAATACATTTCTTTTATAAAATGGGTGGATCACAATTGCCAATTGCTTTAATATGTAGCTCTTTTCTGGAAGAACATAGATACATAATCCACATCTGGAAACTGACTAAAAAACTAATACTTATCATAAACGTATAACACAGAAATAATTTAGAACACAATTTAAAACTTCCAAGTTATTAACGTATTTTAAGCTTCCAAGATATATGATATCCCAAGATGTACATACATACATACATAAATACATACATACATGACATTTGTAGCAACTCCGGCTGTCTCCAAGAACATTAAAGTGTCTCCTTATTATATTTATTCACAATGTATTTATTACAATTCATTCTGCAAGGTATTAAAATTGTTTTTGTGAAATCCACAGAAAAGATTTTATCTTTTTTCAGATATTACTGATGCTGTCTTAACTTCAGGCACACAGTTTTTTTTAGAATGGGAAATCTTGTCTCCTTTTCAGGGATCCTGAATCATATCAGGATGGGGAGGGGGAGGGGGAGGGGGGGCTTAGCTGCTTTACCCATTTCTTTCTATGATCTGTTTTCAGATTGCACAGCAGCCAGAAATTTCTAGCTGGTTGCTGATAGAGAAGGCAAAAGCATAAGGAAAACAATAGGTAAAATTCCATACTAAATACAAATCAAAGGCACAATAGCAACCACAACAGTTGAAACAGCTGTACTTGCTGTTTTTTGAAAAATAATTTACTGAAGTCCAAACCTATTTTTATAGTGTAGAAGCTTTCAAATCTAATCCAGGAAGGAAGTGGATTTAGAACACTACAGATAAATGTTACCTGATAAGTGAAGGGAAAAATCCTGTATTAATTAAAGAGGTTTCTCTAATCTGGAAAAAACAAGACTACTTAAAATATTTCTTTATTTAATTACTTGTTTACTTAGAAAGTAGTCCACTGAGTTCAATGATGCTTAATTCTAATCAATATGAAGGGATTTCATTTGTTACTAGAGAATCAAGTTGTTTCTAATCTACATTAATCTTTATATAATTGGTGCAGAAATGTCTGTTTTTAGTAATAACATTAACATGCTTTTTGTGTAACATTATTAAATTAACTTTTCAGGTTGCAAAATAAGGTAGTAACTACATTTAATGAAATTTACTCAGAAATATACATACGATTTGTATCAATCACTTTAGGACTGATTCTGTTCTATCTTCTTTTTTAAATAAAATAAAAAAATTATGAAGATCCTTAATAAATACATCAGACAGATCCTTTGTTCATAGTATATCTTTGCTTACCCCACATCCAAAGTTCAAACAAGGATAACTTCACACTTTTTCTTCAATGGGCATAACTTTGCTTGCGAATTAGCCTTTTGGTACCCACTCAGTTTACCATTTTTTCCCTCCGTAACTCAACACCAGCTTATTTTGCTTCCTTACATTCCTGGAACTCTCTCCTTCAACATACAGAACTGAATTTAACTATTTAAATTAGGGATGGAGAGAAGAAGCTGGAGCAAGGCCTGTTCTTTCCTAGTCTAGCAAGAAGCAAAGTGAAGTGAAGCAGATCTTAGCTAATGGACAAGAGTGAAAGAATAACGGAGAGCTAGCCACAAACTGCATTCATCCAATTAACCCACTTCCAGCTAATGTTTCAAACAGAAACTGATTTTTTTTAATCCAAGCAGATTAACTTTAGAAATGAACGCATCAATTAGGCTCTAGCAGAAAGTTCAATTCTCCTTATCAAGATAGCAAAAGTAAAGATTTGATCACCAGCAGGTTTTTCATAGGAACGAGTGTCTCCACGTTCATTATTGCCCTATTCTCTAGCCAGAGGCACGTTAGCCTCGGCTAAAATTTATGATCACCGAGGATATAAATTAACTTCACTATAAAATAAAAATACTCACTGAAAGCATCCAAGTTTAATCCTGAACTTTCTAAATTACTTTTTTCTCCAAGTTACATTACTATTTTAAGCCCATCATTAAGGAAGCATGTTTATTAAATCAGGTGGCCGCTTATGAAAGAATTCCAGATCCGAAATCTTATTGAGGAAGGGGGGAGGGGGAAAATAACTGGATTAATAGCGAGGGTGAGAAAAAATGTAGCTAGTACGAAAGCCAATGTTCCAAGATGGAGAATAGGAGTCGGCTGCAAACATGCGAATTTATTTATTTTTTACTCCTGGGTTCAGTCATATGCAAGACAAACTCCCCCCTGTACTGAACAAGCATGCATTGGGTCCGGTTCGGCTAATGCCAACTTTGTCCTGCAAGATCTATTTAGCTTTCTTACGATCCATATTTTACACAGCTCGAACATGAATAGAAAGCACTTTTTAAAAAATTGGGGGGGGGAGCGCGCGCCTTAAAATCAGCCCGACCCAAGGAAATTTGGGTGGAGGAAAGGCGACCCATCCCTGCATTTCGCGACTACTTATCCAAACCCGAGAATATTGACCTTACGGAAACGTCACCCGACTTTATTCTGATAAAATGCAATACATTTTTTTTAAAGAGTCCCACCGCTCATCGCTTCTGCGTCGAGTCCGAGTGCGGATCCGTAGGCACAGAAAAAGAAGCGTAAACTGTGCACGGGACGAGACAGGTTCTCGGCATGCAAAGTTGCGAGATAACCTGAGGCGGGATTTTCCTAAGTAAACTCCCAAGCCCGGTGTTTCCGGGGAAGTGCGCGCAGAACTGCAGCCTTACCTCGCTACCCCCGTTCCCACGGATGGAGTATGTAAACAGTAACAGAGTTGGAAGGGACCTTTGGAGGTCATCTAGTCCAACCCCTACTCACGCAGGAGACCTCTACTACGGATTCCAACCGCCGAAATGCCAACCGATCGACAAGCTCAGTGTCTTAGCCACTGAGCCACCTAGTCAGGCTCAGTATAAGTATAAAGTCTTAAAGGACAGCGCGCACTTCCCCGAAAGGAAATCCTAATTAAACTCGGAGGGGCTTATTCCTGATCCAATACACGCAACTCGTGACATCCACACGAGTGAATTTTCTCGGGAGTAAACTTCCCCGATGCAGGAGAGGTTTGACTTCCCACGAGATTCGCGAAGCTTTCAACTTGCGCGTGAGTCTTTCGGGGCTTTTATTTTTTTTATTTTTTTACACATAGCCCTAATTGCTTTCCCCTCTCGCTACCCTCGGAGAGGGCGGAGCCTCAACCAACCACACCTCCTCACCCCCCACTGACCCCGGAAGAGCGATACCTCTCTCGTCTTCTGTCAGCCTCCCGCGCCAATTCAACTCTTTAATGTAGAACCGCCGCCACCCTCCCTTCAGGCGAACCTCTCATTGGCCCTTAGCCCCGCCCACTCGGCCCGCTCAACTTTTCGATTAGCTGGCGGCCCTGCCACTCCTGAGTGAGCTCCGCTTCCCCCAACAACCATACAATCCTTCCCTCTCATCCGCCTGTATTTACTGCCTTCTCATTGGAGTGGTTCCAGCCTTTAAGAAAATAAATCTCCGTTATGTCCCCAGTGTATTGGTTTTGACGTTTGTCAATCAGACCTCAGTGATGCTTATCATTGGAGGATATACATATGATTAAGGCTGACCTTTTTAATAACTCGTGTTTCATTTGCCCGGGCTAGCTGCCAAAGTGACCCAAGCTTTCAAATGATTGGCTCTATATGATCTTTTTCACGCTGCCTAGCATGTTAGGTTGTGAACCTTCGCCCGCTCCCCCTTTTTTTTCTACGCATTTCTATTTCTTCCTTTATTTATTTATTTATTTCATAAACTTAAATGACCTCGGTAGGGAGGGGGAAGGGAGGCTTGCTGTTATACGGTGACCAATAGCAGAAAGGACAGAGGCGGAGCCTAGAAGGTTTTCACCAATCAGAACACGATATTACCTTCGTACTTAGCAAGTTGCCAGCCAATCGAGTTTTGAAGCTCCCGGCACCAGAGGCTGGCGGCGACGGGCGTTAATCACTGTCTGGATTTGGCAAGAAACCGGACGATACCATCAGTAGATACGGGGAGGGGGAGGAATGTAAAGTAGGAGAAGGAGGGAGCCGCCGAATTTTTACTTTTCAAATGGTGGGGAATGAGGGCTGGGTTTTCTTCCCCCTTTACTTTTCCTTCTTTGTTTTTCTAAAGGAGAAAGTATAATCCGAAAATGGGGAAGAGATGGACAAACAATGTGATTAATTTCCTTGTCTACCTTGCATCCGAAAGAGAAGCTGCAATCTATTGCGCCTTTGAATTCAATGAAACTTATTTCAAGTAAATGGACAAACATATACTATAACCCCGGCACTATTTCATATGTTAATAATTTTCTAATTGTTAATAATTTTCTAATGATGATAAAAAGAGAATCCACTAAAATCTACTTTCTTCCAAGAAACACTTGAATTCTCTTTACTGTGGGACATAGTTTCAACTCTCAGAGATAATGTTTCAGTATTGTCACAAGTAATGCTTGTCTATTGCTTGTCTAAATACTTGCCTATTTTACCATATATTATAATAACTAGGTATTTATCAGTATACAATGTTTTTCTTTTCTTGTTCAAAATATGAAGTAATTCTATTTCAGAATTATCAAGGAAGTGAATAAATTATCAAGACAATGTATTGTATTTAATTTTTATTATTTTTATGCTGTAATAGTTAACATTTTTAAAACTTTTAAACAATAGGTAAATATGCAGTTTCTGTTATGTTAAAGAGGCAGATACTTCCTAATCTCTTATCTGACATACTAGGTTGAGGATTACAAAATTAGAAATCCAAAACTCAAACTTTAGGCTATATTGGTTGTGAATTCTTTGAGTGTGTATCTCAGTGTATCTGGGAGTCTAAACGATTTAAAATAGAGATCATTTAAGCTAATGCTTAGTGCAAAAAATGTTTTGTGTTCTTGCTATCTATTATTATACACCACACTATCCTGAAATTCAATAAACTGCAGACATCTTGTCTGAAATGGAGCTGGTTACTGTTAATGGAACACTAAATAAAACCTGCATGACAGTCACATTATATAGATGGAAACTCACCAGGAACTTTTTTGAATTGGAAGACTGACAACCATGCTATCAATTTAAAATGTGCAGATGTCCTAGGCATTATAGATGTATGATTGAAACAAACAGGCACATTAGGATATATCTGTATTTTTAAAACATCTAAGAAACAGTATCTAAACTATATTTAAGTCATTGATGCAAAGGAAAATATACTCCGTTAACGGATATAATTTTACATAACATGAATAACTGACTAAATCTCTGAGATAAGGATATCTATAATTATAGAATGAATCTATTATGATAAAAATTAGCAAAATGTTTTCAGAAAGATCTGTCACTTGGGATATATGCAGTGTTTAATGTCTTGGTTCTTAATGTCTATGACATATACTACCTTTTTACCAGGTTTTTGCCTTTATAAACTTACATTATTTTCTCTCTAATTGCCTATAAATATATTTTCTCTTCCAGTATGTTGTATACCAATAAATTTTGCTTTTATTTAGGCAATATACTGCATTCAGTTTGATTTGTCTGAAGCACTATATGAAAATCACCCTTTATATTTCAAAACTTGATCAAAACTGCAACATTGTCATTAGCTTCAAAATGCATTTTTAAGATTCATCTTTGTTTGCAAACACTGTACTTTAGTTATGAACAGAGACGTAATTCTGGCTTTAAAGAAATAAGGCAGGTTTTAACCTGAACAGAATGACTTTATCTATCTAGCTACCCACCTCCATTGGTATGCACTTGAAACCAGACATGTTCAAATTCTTCTGCATGTAGGTTGGCATGAAGCTGAAGCACCTGGCAGCATCTTTTTAAGTTTGCCATCAAAGTGTGTCTTCTACTAAAAAGAGTTAAGGTATAATGCAGGTGTGAAATTCAGCAGGTTCTGACAGGTTCTGGAGAACCAGTACAGAAATTTTGAGAAGTTCAGAGAATACCACCTCTGGCTGGCCCCTGAGTGGGGTGGGAATGGAGATGTTGCAATATCCTTCCCCCAGGAGTGGGGAGGCAATGGGGATTTTGCAGTATCCTTTCCCTGGAATGGGGTGGGAATGGAGATTTTGCAGTATCCTTCCCCTGCCACGCCCACCAAGCCACGCCCACAGAGCTGGTAGTAAAAAAATGAATTTCACCACTGATACAATGTCAATGTGTGGCACTTGAATGCCCATTGGGGAGGTTTGTGAACATGACATGTTCTCAGTTGCAGTAACTATAGACTATAGCATCCTCCTGTAATTTCCATAACTATGTCCTTGGACATTTTCACCACCCCCTTTCCTGGCACATGAATCCCTATGATGTGCTCATTCAAGGTTTGCCTACATAAGATTTAGGTTACAGAATCACTTCTCCAAAACTTGCTTATTTCCTTTTGGAGAGCATTTTTAGCTTGACTAGTTCATTACATGTTAGGATCATGAAAACACAATGCAACAATGTGTTATTTCTTGTTCATTACAATTGATCAATAACATTCCTGTTAAACCATGTTATCATCTGGCAAACAAGTTGTCTACTTTCATAGCAATAGCATTTAGATTTATATACCATTTCATAGTGCTTTACAGAGCACTCTAAGCGGTTTACAGAGTCATGAGAGAAGGTACTGTTTTCTTCAGCGTTTTCTTCTAACAAAGAAATATTTTGAATGTCCCAAAACTTTCACTACAGCTGCTAAGCATAAATCATCCTGGATTGTAGACAAGTGATATTGTGAGTATGCTTTGGGTACAGATGAGCAGTACATATTTTGTTCAGCCAGTTTGACCTGTGAGGGTACTGTTATGTAGGGCATCCAACTTGGGTACATTTCATAGGAAAGTGTGTGATGTTCCTATGGTTATCAGGACTTTTATTGGGTACTCTGAACCAGGTGGAAGAGCATATGGGAAGGACTGGATCCAGAGTGTATGACATCCCACCATTTCTTTACAGAATTCTGAAGACACGATCAAAAGTAAAAACTTGAATTCTTCTATTTTATTTTGGAACATGCAATTTACGGTTCAATCTCCCATAGAAGAAAATACCCATCTACTTGCTTTCCTTGCTGCCTCAACTTTTATTTTGATCATTTGCTGTTGTGATAACACTGCTCAACTCACCCATGTTTAGTCAGGGTGTAGTATAATTATAGTTGATGAATCACAGAACCCTTAAGTACCAGTGCAGGACCATATGGGGGGGGGATGTAAATGTTACATTCCTTGAGCAAAAACAAGGTGCAGAAGGAACTTTAGTCATAACCGTGATGGTGAACCTATGGCACACATGCCACAGGTGGCTTTTCTGCTGGCACATGAGCTGTCGCCCAGCTGAGCTCGACCAAATGTGTGTGCACCTCCTGCCGGCCAGCTGATTTTCGGGTCTCTGCAAAACACTATACGAGCCATTGAGAATATAACTATATACATCCAGAAGGAACAGGAGGTGCCTCACAAGGAGCAGATAGAGGTAAATTCTAGAGAGACAGGAAATGCATAATTGAACAATGGAGATGAATGCTAGAGAGGAATAAGTCTGCATACAAGGCTGACATAACACCTGTAACAGCATAGGCATGCAAGGAAGAAGTGCAGGGGCCGCCCGCTGCGCCCCCTTTTGATCTCAGGAGGCTTCAGGGAGAGCTGCTAAGCCCAAAATTGGGTGCAGGGGGGAACCACATAAACAGGGTGTGGGGTGGGTGTTGAGGACTCGGAAAGTCCTCGACTTACGACCTAGCAGCTAGCAACCAGCCAAGCCACGCCCTGATTGGCTAAGGCGTGGCTTGGCTGAGCGTGGGCCGCTAGGGGTGCGTTCATTGGCTTTTCCTGCTTGACAGCTCCATATAAATAGCTGTCAAGCAGGGAAGGTGCTGAATCGCCTGTAAATAGTTCTTACTTGAATAAAGCGTTCCTCGTTCTGCAGTTCTGGCTCCAGCCTCGTCCTTCCGCCGATCCACTAAAGTGTGTGCATTGTATTGGTGTGGGCACATGGTTGCCACCTGTCATGTCCGTGCGCACACTTTTGGCACACAAGGACATAAAGTTTAGCCATCACTGCATTATAACATCAA